AATAAAAGAAAATAATGGAAATGTCAAAAAATAAAAGAAAATAAGTTTCTCATGTGATATGTGGTCTAGTTGTTGGGAAAATTTGCAAATGTGAATTTTGACTTTATTTGCAAAATCTCTCTGAAATTTGTAAAAATGGGCATAACTTTTGCATACTAACTCGGATGAAAAAGTTTTTTATATGAAAAATCATCTACTCGAAAAGTTACATCCAGATTTAACCGGGGGAACCCCGTTAAACATTTTCAAAATCCTCAAAAACCTAATAGAAAAAAGTTACGGGGCTTTTAAGATCTAGAGTGGAAAAAATTGAAAAATATTCAAACAGTGGGCAAACTGTGGTCAAACAATGGTCAAACTAATTATTCTAGAATATTAGTGTTACTAAATAGTTATTTTAGTTATTTCAATTTTGGTCAAATCTGGTCAAACTGTGGTCAAACTGTGGTCAAACTGTGGTCAAACTAATTATTCAAGAAATATTAGTGTTACTAAATAATTATTGTTTTTTAAAACAATAGTTTCATACTCAAACAGTGAAATGTGTCACTTCATGCTCAAGCAAAATTCCTGAAGGTTAATAGGATTGACATCTTACTATTGTCAGGAAAACAACAAGTGCAGACTTGGAGCGAGGGAGAATAGAACCCGGAAGTTAAGCGTGCTCGGGCTGGGGGAGTGGGAGGATGGGTGACCGTTCGGGAAGTTAGATGATTTGGAATGATGAGGGGTGATTAGAGGATAAATTGAGAAGTGATGAGGGGTGGTGGTTACAGACTAGAGGTTAAAATAATTCAGAAGTTTGAAAATAAAAAAATTCAAAAAAAAATTCAAAAAAAAATTCAAAAAAAAATTTCAAAAAAAAATCATAAAATTTCCTTTAGTCCCGGTTGGTGTTACCAACCGGGACTAAAGGTGGAGCTCCACGTGGCCGCGCCCTTTAGTCCCGGTTCTGGATTGAACCGGGACTAAAGGGTCGGGGCAGGAACTGGGACTAAAGGCCCTTACGAACCGGGACTATAGGCCCTTTTTCTACCAGTGCTCGACAGTAATTTGTTCACCCACTATAATACTTATGCTATCCTGAGAGAAGCCACTAGTGAAACCTATGGCCCCCAAGTCTATCTTTTATCATATAAGTTTCCCATCTATTTTATTTTGCAATCTTTACTTTCAATCTATATCATAAAAATATCAAATATATTTATCTTATTATTACTATCTCTATCAGATCTCACTCTCGTAAGTGACCGTGAAGGGATTGACAACCCCTTTATCGCGTTAGTTGTGAGGTTCTTATTTCTTTGTGTAGGTACGAGGGACTTGCGTGTAGTCTCCTACTGGATTGATACCTTGGTTCTCAAAAACTGAGGGAAATATTTATGCTACTTTGCTGCATCACCCTTTCCTCTTAAAGGGAAAACCAACGCACTGCTCAAGAGGTAGCAGTCTTCAATGGGATGTCAAATTGGAGGGTGTGCAGTCAGAAACTCGCATGGGCACGCACCTGCCCAGCGGTGCTAGCTGCCCGATTGCCTTGCGACCCACAAAGTTATTGGATCCCACACGAGGGCACAACAAGTTTTAAGTTACAGTTTCTGAAACTTACGATTTAGTTAGTCAGTGGTTTGAAACTTACATTTTTTTTCCGAAACATACCAAGTTTCACAAGTCAAAACTTAACAAAGTATGAAAAACTCGTTAAAACGTAATCAGAATGCATCTCATTTGAAATCCTCATCATAAAAAACACAAATATTCAAACGAATTTATACTTTTGGTTCAAGATATGAAAGACTGAAAATTGGAAGCCAAAAGAAAAGAGGGTGTCCTACAAACCCTGTGCTGCAAATCCCGTCCTGGTGTGCAGTATAATGTTTTGAAGTTCAGGGTTGTGTCTTAAACATATTGTTAAGGTTGGTTTTCTTTTTTAGAAAAACTTCATATCTATTCATCAACCGTTAAGGTAGGACAAAGAACATCAGAAGTAAAAAATACATTCACGTCTATAGACCACCTAGCGACGACTACAAGCATTGGAGGAAGCCAAAAGTGCGCCGCCGTCATCGCCCCTCCCTCATCGGAGCGGCCAAACCTTGTTGTAGTAGACAGTCGTCGTGCTAAGACCCTATAAAATCAGTGCATCAGAACAACAACCGCCGCCAATGAAGAGAAGTGTAGATTGAAAGGATCCAACCTATAGACACACAAACACACGAGAACGAAGATCGGATCCACATCCACATGAATCCACCAAAGACAAACGCCGACAGAATCCCACGAGATCCACCAGAGAAAAACCTACACACGCCCTCTGACGATGCTAGAAACATCACCAGAACGGGGGCTAGACGAGGAGGACCTTATTCCATATACATAGAGCTGATGACGCCTCACATATCTGAGCAGGACACAAACCCTAAAAAACTCAAAGAAACATAAAAAACGGAGCCCCCCACCAACAATGGCCAGGATCCATGGCGCCTCCATGGTCTTATGACCACATGAGACGTGGTAGATCGGCGGTGACGCCTGCGGGGAGGCAAGAGAAACCCTAGCACGTTGGGTGTAGGGTATGAGCGACCGCCGTGTGCTAGTCGACTAGTTTCTACGTATTGGTGAGGTTGGTTTAACGGTGAGCTTATCTTGAACGAAAAATATAATCCTTGTCAAAAAATGTACCCCATCTAAAAAACCAAGCAAATATAATCCAATTTAAATTGGAAGCACTGGTGTTTTCCTCAGTCCATTCATGCCGCTGTTGAATATTCTATGTATGTGCGTGTTCATCGAAGTCTAATATGAGACTACAATTAGCCTCTAGTAACATCCCCTATAAATAATGTAGATGCAAAAATATCTAACATTTGCATTTCCAAGGCCAAAAACACACCTCCAATAGATGATGTAAATGAAAAAAAGTTACATCTTCATCTCTAGGAGATGTAAAATACAACACGTGGAGATGCAAATTTGTATCGCCACCTACAAGAGATGTAAAATCGGTGGCCATGCGCCAACCACCCAACTGGCTTCACTTCCTTTCCCCCATCCCATTTTTCTTCCTCCCACCTCCTGCTGCATTGTCGTCGCCGCCGGCCCACCAACCACGCCATGCCACCACCTCCTGCGCTAGATCCGCTGCTCCTCCCTCGCCGCCCGACGCTCCTCCGCCGCCGCTCCGCCATTGATCATCGGCCTGATCCCCATTGCTGCCACCCTGATTCACCGCCTCCGCCAACCAGACGCGGCTCCGCTGCCGCTCGGACTCTCCCCCTATTTGCATTGTCCCGCCGCCACCCTGATCGCACTGCCGTACCGCCATCCCGACGCCACTGCCCCGATTCGCATTGCCGCACTACCGTCCCAACGTCGCCACCCTACCGTCGCCGCGCCGATTTGTCCGCCGCATGACAGCCACCACCCCGCTGTCGCCATGCTGCCGAACAAGCTCTCAAAGATCAAGACGGGATTCTTTGACGTGCGGGCAAAGCCATCTGGCAAATTCAAGGTTGCGTTCTCCAAGTCCGCCGCTTCTGGCTCGGCACCTACACCACTGTCGCCATGGTCGCGCGTGCATACAACATGGAAGTGTGGCGGGCCGGGAGGCCGAAGACGGACCTCAACTTCCTGGAGATTGAGACCGGGGCGGATGCGGAGTTCCTCGTCCCTGAGGGCATTAAGACGGACGAGATAAAGAAGATGAACAAGAGGCCGGCCATTGCGTTGGTCCCGGTGATAGCGACGAGGTGGCGATAGCGAGGTTTGCGCGGGAGCATCCGGAGTATGTCCAGGCCGAGCAGAAGTACTTATAGAAGCGTGATACCGAGCAGCAGAATAAGGGGGTGAAGGAGGACAAGGCCGGCCCCTCGACGGTGGTCCACGTTGAGTCCTTCGAGGAGGACGATAAAGAGTTCTAGGGGCCCTCGGAAGAGGACAAGGAGGAGTACTGGATGCCCTCACACGATGAGTAGTTTGAATTAACTGTAGTAGTCATTTATTTTATATTTTTAATTAGAATTATGTTTGAGTATGTCTGAAATGAAATAGTAGTCGAAGTTTCTAGTTTTTTACATCTTCACTTTGAACCATCTATTGGAGTTGCACTTTTACATCTTTAATATGCATCATCTGATGAAGTTGCCTCTTTTTTAAAGATGTAAAATGCACTTTTTGATGATGTAAATTTTACATCTATTGGTTTTACAACTTCAAATTTGCATCATCTATTGAAGATGCTCTGAGGCATATGATCTCCGTTCGTCATTGTCCAACATCACAGCTTGTCTTCCGCCGGCAATAGGCTATGGATTTGTATACGTCATATCAGAGATGATGGAATAAGAAAACTTTCGGTGACCTAAAAGAATCTGGGTTAATGAGATCCTAAGGCATGTCATGGATATGTTAATGAGACGACGCTTAGCGAACACGGCCCGGGTAACCCGCCTTACCGGAGCACGACCACGAGGTAGCGCCAAACCAGATGGCGCCGCCGGTGGCTTAGCTATGATGCAAAGTGGTTGTAGTCCGTGAAGAAGGACGACCGAACAAATTTGAATTGTTCCTTGATTCATTGACTAACTTACTGGCCATCCTCATCTCCCCCATGTTGTTCCCACTGGCACGCAGTTCCACTTGAGCTAGCTAAGTCCACATGTATATTTGATTTGCATGCTATAGGATATGCAAGACCCAATAGTTTACATGAACTCACTTGTACGTTCATGTTGCACAAATTTGATCATTCGAGAGGAGAATTAACTATTTTTTGCCGGAAAAAATACACACTCTGTTCCGAAATATAAGATGTTTTGTCAATTCGATTTAAACTGGCAAAACCACTTATACTTGGAAACAGATGTAGTACTAATTAACTTACTGTAAACAATAGTAGTTGTCCTACAGCACAAGTCACACAATTTGTTGTACAAATATGATTATTTTAAAATTTCTCGTTGGACCAAAAGATTTCCAAAGAATAAGTAGACAAAACATGATCTCTAGACGACGGGTGCAAGCAAGTTAGTCGTGCGAGCGAGCGAGCGACGGACGTGACGAGTCATGGGCCAGCCATGTCCGGGCGCAAGCCCAAGGACATTGCACCACTCATTTACGAGGCACCCTTAAGAAAAATCTGGAAGGTGTGGGAAGGTATCAAGGACAATGCTTGGATTTTAAAGATAAGGCCGGACACTGTGGTATCCAGTGGCGGAGTCAGGAAATGTGGATTAGGAGGGCCAAGTGCCGTCAAAGTAGGTTAAGGAGGGCCAAAGCATAGGAAAATAGACTTTTAGCATCAAAATATTGCTAATTATGCACTGTTCATCAGTGAATTAGCAGCAAATTCCCAATGTCGGGGGGGCGAGGGCCCCTGCTAGTCCCCCTGTCTCCGCCACTGGTGGTATCCATCAACCAAATAAGGGAATTCTTTATCCTTTGGATGCTTGTGCATGACGTCAATCCTGCCGAGCACACCAAGGACGACATCATATGGAAGCACACGACTAATGGGCAATACTCGGCCGCCTCCGCATATAAGGCGCAATTCTTGGGCATGGTTAACTCTCCCATGGAGCAAATGGCGTGGAAGGCTTAGGCACCGTCAAAGGTCAAGTTCTTTGCTTCGCTTGCTTTACAAGACCGGATTTGGTTGGCGGGTAGCTTGGACAAGAGCAGGATGCAAAACTGTGGTCGGCCTTCTCTGTGGGAGGGAGCAAGAAACAGTGGCTCACCTTTTCTTCAAGGGCCGCTACACCATCAGGCTTTGGATATTGGTCATCGAAAAGCTGAGTCTGGACCATATCGATGCTTCTACTTGGCACTTAGAAGCCTCGGTCATGGATTGATGGGCGAACAGGACCAACTTGGGCAACCCCAGCAGGAAGGCGATGGCCTCTCTCACAATGCACGTTTCATGGACCATCTAGAACGGAGAGGAACGCACGAGTCTTCCATCACATGAGCGCGCCGCCGCCGATCCTACTCAACAACATTCTTACCTAGGCTAGACATTGGGTTAAGGCGGGAGCTAAGAAGCTAGGGGACATTTTAGTACGTGAGTAATTGTCATGTGACATGTTACGGTGGGTTGTAAACAAACAAACTCTATTTCTCTCTTAATTAATTGATGAGGCAAATATTTTGTCACCGTTATAAAAAAATGTCCACGCGCCTGGGCGTTGTAGGAACAAACTGACGCTTAACATGCTGAATAGGAGGTCACCTGACGACTTCTACGAATTCAGAGTGGATCCTCCATAGAAGGCTTCGAATTAATTAGGCCAGGCCCATTAACAATTCAAATCTGGCTAGCCCATCACACGTGCATTTGTGCTTGTGATGTCCTCCGTGCCTCCGTTCTATATTATATATTAGTACATCTATTTGGGCAACAATTAATATAAGACAGAGGGAGTAGCTTTCAAGTGTCCAGACTAGATATCCTAAAAAGAGTGTCCAAACTATTTAGATTGGTCAACTCAAAATAAAATCACTTAGAATTTTCATTAAAATTATATCAGTTCTGCAATTGTATACTAAATAGTCCCTCCGTTTACAAATATAAGATGTTCTAACTTTTTTGTGAATTGAATGTACATAGACACATTTTGGTGTGTTTGTTTACTCATTTCCGTCTATATATAGTTCATATTGAAATATCTAAAACATATTATATTTGTTAATTGAGGGAGCATTTACTAAAAATAACGATGAAAGTGGTATCTTGGAGACTATGTCCATATTTTAGAACGACATCAAGCTGTAGTTAACTCAGTATATATGAAAAATTAACAATTGAAAATTAGTGGAGTAAAAATACTCCACTAAGTTTTACTCGGCCAGATACTCCTCTATGTTTTAGGGATCAGCTAGAGTTGCTCTAACGGATATAACAAATCCGGTAGGTGCGGTTTAGAGGAGTAAAACGGAATGTTCACTACTGTGCTTTTTGACGAGATGCTCTAAACCTCTGACTATCCGCGAATCGTCGCTAAAACCATCCCATTTTTGCCGCCAAAACACATTCCTTGAAATGGCACACTTTTTTTTTGAAGGAAAGAAGGGCTTCGCACCCCTCCGATTTTCATTACTGAAAACCATAACATTCAAAGCTACACGGACAAACTAAAAAGAATAGAAAAAAGGACAAACGGCAATGAAGCTACTCCCAGCTCAGGCTGGGATAGGGGCACACGAAGTGAGAACGCATCATACAGGGGGCTATAGTTGGCGTGCCTTAGCGTACGAACTAGGAGCTTTCGACTTTGAAGCAACAAGTCACCCTTGGAAATTCTGTAGAGATAATATTTGATATACAGCCTGCCCAAACTAATCATCCTTGGAGCACATGGCGCCACAGAAGGTTATTCCCTTGGTGCATATTGTATCCTCTGGCAGTTTATGGGATAATTGCCTTCCCCTGAAACTTGTTCTTCGTGATAGATTCATGGCATGTTACGCTGGACGCCAATCATGGACGATTGAACGGCCTCGGCGACATCTATTTCCTTCTCCATTTTTTGTGCTTTGACTTGTCCGTTTAGCCACGTCTGAATCAGTTGATAACTGAGGCGGTTGTATTGAGACGGTAGTTAGCACATGCATCTGCACATAGATAACAGGTTGTCACACGTCGACATGCACCCAAGACTACGTAACCGGCCGGCCGGCATATGTATAAATACAAGGATTTTGAGAACATATACACATCATCCGTCCATTACCTCGACATAGATTGCTAGTACTGAAACATTCTTGTCCGTAGCCACTTAATTGGAGCTTAATTTGATCGTGCAATTGGTTAAGGTCCATGGCGATCAGGTCTTTGCTGCTCCCTCTGGCCCTGCTGGCTCTCGCAGCTAGCTCGGCGGCGGTGCCTAACCTAGAGATCGGCTTCTATAGCAAGACATGCCCAGACGCCGAGAAAATCGTCCGCGAGGAAATGATCAAGATCATCGCTGCCGCGCCCAGCCTCGCTGGTCCGCTCCTCCGTCTCCATTTCCACGACTGTTTTGTCAGGGTACGTTACTTTGCCTGTTCTCGTATTACTGCTGCTATTGATCATGAATTGCATGCTTACATGCAACGTAAATTAAATTGCAGGGTTGTGACGCATCTGTCCTCCTCGAATCCACCGAAGGCAACGTGGCGGAGAAGGACGCCAAGCCGAACAAGAGCCTGCGAGGGTTTGGCTCGGTGGAGCAGGTGAAGGCCAAGCTCGAGGCTGCGTGCCCGGGCATCGTCTCCTGCGCCGATGTGCTCACCCTCATGTCCCGCGACGCCGTCGTGCTGGCCATGGGCCCCTTCTGGCCAGTGGCGTTGGGAAGGAGAGACGGAAGGGTGTCCAGTGCCACGGAGGCCAGCAAAGAGCTGCCCCAGCCTCCGGTGACGTCCCTCTGCTCGCCAAGATCTTTGCCTCCAAGGGCCTGGACCTCAAGGACCTCGTCGTGTTCTCCGGCGCCCACACGCTCGGCACGGCGCACTGCCCGTCATTCGCTGACCGGCTCTACAACAGCACCGGCGAGAACGATGCCTATGGCGTCGTCGACCCGTCTCTGGACAGCGAGTACGCCGACAAGCTAAGGCTCAAGTGCAAGAGCGTTGATGACCGTACTATGCTGTCGGAGATGGACCCTGGGAGCTTCAAGACCTTCGACACCAGCTACTACCGCCACGTCGCCAAGCGGAGGGGCCTCTTCCGCTCCGATGCCGCGCTCCTCTTCGACAACACCACCAGGGACTACGTCCAGCGCATCGCCACCGGCAAGTTCGACGGCGAGTTCTTTAAGGACTTCAGCGCGTCCATGATCAAGATGGGCGACGTGGGTGTGCTCACCGGAGCCGAGGGAGAGATCAGGAAGAAGTGCTACGCCCCCAACTAGCGTCTGTTGATTTTTAGTTAGTTAGTTGTTATAACTGCACTGCATCTCTGTCTGATATTATCTACTGTAGTGTGATGTATTATTGTCAGTGGTATTTAGTAAATTATTTCGTCGCCAAGCTCCATGGTCTTAGCTACGTACATGCTACACAAATGCATGTATGGCAGTATTGTTTTCTTGTGTCATTGTGTGCTGTGCACATAAACCTAGCTAACTGATCAAGGATAGCAAGTCATCTTTAGCGGAATGAAAAGATATAAGTCAACTTAGGATAGTACTCCCTCTGTAAATTTAAATGCTCTTATATTTCTTTACGGAGGGAGTAAGTCAATCACTGTTTTGGAGTTCAAGGTTGAGTCTTAAACATAGTGGTAAGTTGAAAGCTGTACAGTGGACTTATCTCTAATGAAAATATAATCCTTATAAAAAATGAACCTTGCCTGAGAAAACAAATGAGTATAATCCAATTTAATTTGGAAACACTAGTGTGTTTTCCTAAGTCTATACATGGCGCTGTTTAATTAAAGAAAGTTCTTATTCTATGTAAGTACGTCACGGTGTAAGGCCTCCTTTAGTTTTACATGAATTTTGTAAGAATTTTGTAGGATAGGATTTCTATAGAAAACATTTCCTTTTGAGTCATTTGCTTTGTATGGATGAATTCCTATTCGTATGTAAAATTGGTTTCTATTCAAAGGAAAAAAATAGCTAGGACCTAATGAAAAATATTCATATCCTACGGACCAAATGATTTCTTTTCTATAAAAAGTGATATACATGTCATCCCATTTACGATGACTTTTCTATATTCCTATAATTAATATTGAGATAATTCATAACGAGATAATTCATAATAATGAGATAATTCATACTGCATTATTGCTGAGTCAACACTTCCAATTCCATATTGCACTTTTCTAATAATAAGATAATTCATAACGCAAACCAGTTGGGAGTTTCCCTAGGTAGCAACGATGTTGAAGTTGCTAAGTCCGTTAATGATCTCTTGGACCTTGAAGCGGAGCGCGCTTTAGAGATGATTAGAAATCTAGCGGCTGTTAAACCTATGAACGATTCTGATGTAGATGCTTTGGGGGTAAATGTGCTTGATAGCTTTTGTGCGGATCTGGCACCATCTCTTCCTGAGAATGAGGAAGATGAATATTCTACTTCCCCAAGTGATTCCATTATTGCTGAGTCCCAGGTGGAGGTGCCCACTGAGCTTGGTTGTGGGGAACGGGTAGAGGACCAAAATAGACCTAAACGCAAGTGGAATTGTAGGATTTATCCGGCGTCGGCCGTGCGTAGAAGTGCTAGGATCCGAACTGCTAAAAAATTTCATCATGAAATATGAAAGGAATTTTCTGGAATAGCGGAGGTCTTAAGGAGTTGGCTAAAAGAAGATTTTTAGCAGATGCCACTATTGAGGACAAATTGGATTTTATTGCCCTTTCAGAAACTAGAAGGGACAATTTCACCCCCCCCCCCCCAATTCCTTAGTACTCTATCGGGAGGGGTGGACTTTGATTGGCATTGTTTACCTCCAAGAGGAAGATCCGGTGGGATCTTACTTCGGGTGAATTGTTATTCGTTGGAAGCTAGGAATGTCATAATGGGAGACTTTGCGGTTAAGTCTCCGGTTCAGTCAAAGGCTGATGAGTTTAATTGGGCTTTGGTGGCGGTATATATGGAGCCGCACAACCAGGAGTTAAACCAGATTTTTTTTGGCGGATTTACTACGTATTTGTGGTAATGAGCAACTCCTCATCCTGGTTGGGGGTGATTTTAACATTATCCGTAGACGGGAGGGAAAAAAACAATGATAACTTTGACGACAGATGGTCGTTCATGTTTAATACAATTATAGAAAGTCTAGATCTTCGAGAGATTGAGCTTTCTGGTAGGAAGTTCACTTGGGCCAATACTTTACCGGTTTCGACCTTTGAGAAATTAGACCGGGTCCTAGCGAGCGTCGAATGGGAACATAAGTTCCCCCTTGTGACGGTCCAAGCGCTTTCTCGCGCAATCTCCGATCATACCCCTCTGTTGGTTGACTCAGGAGAGCCAACGCATGTGGGGAACAAGAGTACGTTTTCTTTCGAATCGGCGTGGTTTGAAAGAGAAGGGTTCCTGGATCTAATAGCAAGAGAATGGGCTAAAGATTCAGGAGGAAGAACGAGTGTTGAGCGGTGGCAAAACAAGATCAGGCACTTGAGGCAATTCTTGCGGGGCTGGGCTAAAAATCTTAGTGGGTTATATAAGGCGGAGAAAGAAAGGCTCCTGATGCTGATTCAATCCCTAGACTTAAAAGTTGAGTCCTCCATATTAGATACCAGAGAACTGGAAACTAAAGTAGAGGTGGAGTTAAGATTGAAAGAACTGCTCCGTGAAGAGGAATTGAAGTGGGCTTTGCGAGCTAAAGTTCACAAAATCGTCCAAGGGAATGACAACACGCAATTCTTCCACATGATTGCCAATGGCAAGCACCGAAAGAAGCAAATATTTCAGCTTGAGCAAGACGAGGGAACGATTTTAGGGCAGGAGAATCTTAAGTTATATATCACCAATTACTACAGGCAACTGTTTGAGCCTCCTGAGGACAATTTTGTTTCTTTGGATGAGTCGAGGGTTGAGGATGTCCCTCGGCTTGCAGTTGACGAGAATGACAGGTGTTTGAAGCAATATCCCAAATGAAAAATAATAAAGCTCCAGGCCTGGATGGTTTCCCGGCGGAGTTCTATAAAAAATGTTGGCACATCATAAAGGGGGACTTGCTCCCGATGTTCCAGGATTTCTTCTTGGGACAGTTGTAGTTGTTCCACTTGAATTACGGCACTAAAACCCTGCTTCCTAAGAAAACAGAGGATATGAGGATTGTGCAATTTAGGCTGATCTGTCTTCTTAACGTTAGCTTTAAGATCTTTACCAAAGTTGGGACTACCAGGATTACACAGACTGCGCATTCTGTGGTGCAGCCGTCCCAAACCGCTTTCATGCCGGACAGGAACATCCTAGAAGGGGTTGTGGTTCTGCATGAAATGCTCCATGAAATCCGCACGAAAAAACTAGATGGGGTGGTTTTCAAAGTGGATTTTGAGAAGGCGTGCGACAGGGTAAAATGACCATTTCTTCAACAAGCTTTGTGCATGAAAGAATTTGATCAGGCCTGGAGAGACCAGGTAGACTCGATCATGCAAAAGGGGGTGTTGGAATCAGAGTAAATGATGACATAGATCATTATTTCCAGACGCACAAGGGTCTGTGACAAGGAGATACGATGTCGCCGATCCTGTTCAACATTGTCGTTGATATGTTGACAATCCTAATTGGAAGGGCCAAGGAAGATGGTCAAGTAGGTGGCCTTGTCCCGCATTTAGTTGAAGGGGGAGTGTCTATCCTACAGTACGCGGATGATACTATCATCTTCATGGAGCATGATCTGGCTAAAGCGAGAAACATGAAGTTGGTTTTATGTTTGTTTGAACAATTATCGGGGTTGAAGATTAACTTCCACAAAAGTGAATTGTTCTGCTTTGGAAGAGCTAAAGAAGAACAACAAGCTTACAAAGAACTTTTCGGGTGTGAATTGGGATCTCTACCCTTCACGTATTTGGGTATACCAATCCACCATCGCAAGCTTTCTAACAAAGAGTGGAAGAGCATTGAGAACCGATTTGAGAAAAAACTGAGCTGCTAGAAGGGCAAGCTCATGTCATACGCAGGATGATTGATTTTGATTAATTCGGTTCTCATAAGTATGCCTATGTTTTTATTGTCCTTTTACGAAGTACCTGTCGGGGTACGAAAGAGGCTAGATTTCTATCGATCGCGATTCTTTTGGCAGAGCGACGATTTAAAAAGAAAGTACAAACTTGCTAAATGGGATATCATTTATAGGCCAAAAGACCAAGGGGGTCTAGGCATTAAAAATTTAGAGGTGAAGAACAGATGTCTTCTCAGCAATTGGCTGTATAAGTTATCATTAGAGATGGATGGCACGTGGGCACAGATTCTTCGTAATAAGTACCTACAGTCCAAAACCTTGCCCAGGTGATGGTAAGACCGACTGATTCGCCTTTTTGGAAGGGACTCATGCGAGTAAAAGAAGCCTTTTTCAATAGGACAAAATTTGTAGTTGGCAATGGTACTTACACAAGATTCTGGGAGGATACATGGCTAGGGGAGACGCCCCTTGCAATTCAATACCCTTCTCTCTATAGTATTGTTCAGCGAAGAGACGCTTACATTGCAACAGTACTACAGTCAAATCCTCTTAATATTCAATTCAGGTGAACGCTAGTGGGGCAACGTTGGGAAGCTTGGCTCCATCTTGTGAGAAGATTGATGGACATCCAACTCTCCCAACAGCCAGATCACTTACACTGGAAACTAGCTAACAATGGGGAGTTTTCGGTTAAATCCATGTATTTGGATATTATCAACACTAGCGTTATTCCTAATTCGAAGCATGTCTGGAAAGTCAAAGTGCCTTTAAAAATCAAAGTGTTTATGTGGTTTGTCCATGAACAGGTTATCTTCACTAAAGACAATGTGGCAAAACGCAACTGGTTGGGTTCTGAAAGATGTAGTTTTTGTGATAGTGATGGATCAATCAAACACCTCTTTCTCGATTGCCCACTGGCAAAGATTTTGTGGAGCTCAGCCCACATAGCTTTTAATATTTCTCCTCCAAATTTCATCAACACGTTATTTGGGCCGTGGTAAGATGGGATTGACGTAGTAACTTCGAGGCATATCCGTGTAGGAGTATGTGCTTTGCTATGGGCAATTTGGAACTGCAGAAATGATTTGGTTTTTAATAGAACAACGAATATTCATTTCTTGCAGGTTATCTTCAGGGCCACTGAACTTATCCGTATGTGGTCGCTACTCACTCCGATGGAGGCCAGGGAGCATTTGGTTACTGGATCTATCCGATGGGAGATGGTAGCTCAGGATTTATTCAACCGGTTTGGATGGCGGTCATGTAATAGGATAGG